TTCCTGCGTGGCGAGCTCAGCAGCAGTGGCAACGATGCAGAGCTCTCCAGCAGAGATGGCTGTGCAATCCCAGACTAGAAAGAGGGCCCCAGCATGGACTGATCGGGAAGTCTTGGATCTCATCGCTGTGTGGGGAGATGAGTCCGTGCTTGCCGAGCTGCGCTCCAAAAGACGGAATGCAAAGATCTACGAGAAGATCTCTAAAGCCATGGCAGAGAGAGGATACAGCCGGGATGCAACGCAGTGCCACGTGAAAATCAAGGAGCTGAGACAAGGCTACCAGAAGACCAAAGAGGCAAACGGACGCTCCGGATCCCAGCCCCACACATCCCGTTTCTACGAGGCACTGCATTCCATCCTAGGTGCGGCCGCCACCACTATCCCACCAGTGACCGTGGACTCTGAGGATGGGATATTGTCCACAGCCGGTTCTTCTTCGGACATGTTAGCAGACGGGGAAGATGAAGAAGGAGATGAGGAGGACGATGCAGTCGACAGCGCTGGCACCCCTGATTTCCCCGACAGCCAGGAGCTCTTCATCACCCTCACAGAGATCCCCTACCAACCTCCCCCGCCGTTACCCCAGACACAGATTCAGGGGAAGGATCAAACAGTAAGTGTTTTAAATATCTTAACATTTATTTATAACAGAACTTGCATATTTTAAATATTAACAATAGCTAAAGTGCTTTCAAACATGTAAACATTTATTTATAGCAGAACAGGAACATTTAAAATATTAACAATGGGTAAAGTGCTTCAAAACATGTAAAGAGTAAAGTGCAACAAAACGGGAATCTGAAGAAAGGGTATCATGATTAGTCTGTCTTTGGGCGCTTCAATATATAGTCCGAACTATTTTAAAAAAATTTCACAATGTCCGCTTCATGATTATACTGCCCAAGACACTCCACTCTTTTGTCCCTCCAAGGGCACCTAACCCAAAAGCTGGTCGATGTGTCCGGGGATAGAGGTGAGATCCCCCGGGGAGAACTCCTCATAGGCCTCCTGCAGGTGTCTTTCCAGCCTAATTATCAGGTTCTTTGGCAGGGAGAGCTTATTAGGCCCCCCGTGGTAAGAAACGTTTCCCTGCCACAACGCCAGCAGGTATTCAGGGATCATGGCCTTGCACAGCATATCAGCAAATGGCCCCGGTTTCTGCAGGCTGTCCCGAAGCATCCTCTCCTTCTGGCTCTCCGAGACCCTCAGGAGGGTGATGTCTGGCATGACGCCCTGCTTTGAATTAGGTAGGGGAAAGTTATTTTTGGGACTGCTTGCCCGTTCCTTTACAGAACTGCAACCGCCGGTTTACAGCCACGCGGTTTACAGCCGCGAGGGGCTGGGACAGGGGCAGAGTTCATGCTTGCAGGATTGCTGCCAGCAGAGACTCGCATTGCTTTCTATGTGAAAGGAGGCCAGTGCCACTCTTAAAGTTTTAAGCAGCCACAAGTCTACGGCTTACCATGTTTGCCAGCTAGACAAAGTCCGGTGTCCTGCCCCGTTCCTCAGCTCGCCACAGCAAGACCGCAGGCACTGTAGGCGAGGGCCGAAAATTCGACCTTGTCCTCAGTGCGCGTGTGATAGGTGCTCTGCATGGTCTTGTTCACAGAGAAAGACTATGTTCTCTGTTCACAGATACATTGCTCTGTCTCAGGAATTCACTCCCTTTTTCCAATTCCCACAGCCACATCTGCCCAGAGGCTAGCGCACATTAGGAGGAGGAAGAAGAGGACACGGGAAGACATGTTTGCTGAACTAATGGGATGTTCCCGAGCCCAGGCAGACCAGCAGACACAGTGGAGGGAGAACTTGTCCCAAATGCACCGGGCAAACATGGAACGGGAGGAGAGGTGGCGACAGGAGGACCAGCAGGCGACTCAAACGCTGCTTGGACTAATGAGGGAGCAAACGGACACGCTCCGGCGCCTTGTGGATGTTCTGCAGGACCGGAGGCAGGAGGAGAGAGCCCCGCTGCAGTCTCTCTCTAACCGCCCTGCCCCGCCACCAAGTCCCATACCCCCCTCACCCAAAGTCCAAACACGGAGGGGCGGCAGGGGCCGTGAAAACTTTCACTCCACCCCAGCAGACAGCTATAGCACTAGAAGGCTCTCATTCCCCAAAATCTGAAAAGTCCTTTCCTACCCGCCTCACACAAGACCCCGTCCAAGTTTCACCCCCCCGTTCCATGTGTGGTTGTTAATAAAAAATACGTTTCTGTTCATTGCTGTTTCCATCCTCTTCTTTTGGAGGAAAGTCTGTCTGAAGGGGGGGGGGGGAAGGGGCTTGGTAATTAGACAGGGCAGTCACCTTTAGCAGGGGGCAGGCCCAGCAGCAGGGCACATACACAGTGCAGTGACTAGTTACCCTGGTCAGTCTGGGAGGTGGCTTTCATGTTCTGTGGGGGGGGGGCGGGGTTGCTCTGTGACTTTGTGGCGGGGGAGGGCAGTTTAGAAGCATCATTAGCATCACAACACTAAACCCAGGTTTAAAACATTCCCGCGAAAACAGTAATGAAGACAACGGTGTTCATTAGCAAAAACAGAACAGATTTTATTTTTTGGGAAGGGGGTGAAGGGGGTAACTGGGTAAAGAAACGGGGGCAAGTTCAGCCTCTGTGTCCACAAACTTAAGTCACTGGGTACCCTGCTCAGTCTTGAAACTGGCTTTCAAAGCCTCCCGGATGCACAGCGCGTCCCGCTGGGATCTTCTAATCGCCCGGCTGTCTGGCTGGGCGTAATCAGCAGCCAGGCTATTTGCCTCAACCTCCCACCCCGCCATAAAGGTCTCCCCCTTGCTCTCACAGAGATTGTGGAGCACGCAGCAAGCTGCTATAACGATGGGGATATTGGTTTCGCTGAGATCACAGCGAGTCAGTAAGCTTCTCCATCTCCCTTTGAGATGGCCAAAAGCACACTCCACCACCATTCTGCACTTGCTCAGACGGTAGTTGAAGAGTTCTTTTTCACTGTCCAGGGTGCCAGTATAGGGCTTCATGAGCCAGGGCATTAGCGGGTAGGATGGGTCCCCGAGGATCACGGTAGGCATCTCCACGATGGTCGCAGCGGGATCCATGCTCGCGGTGCTGTGGCGTCCGCGCTGTCACTGACCAGAAAAGTGCGCGAACTGATTTCCCGCCGGCGCTTTCAAGGAGGGAGGGAGGGCGGGAGTGACGATTGGATGACAGTTACCCAAAAGCACCCTCGAGACATTTTTTTTTCCCCCAGAAGGCATTGCGGGCTCGACCCAGAATTCCAATGGGCAGCGGGGACTGCGGGAACTGTGGGATAGCTGCCCACAGAGCACTGCTTCCAATGTCGACGCTTTCCCTGGTAGTGTGGACTGACAAAGTCGAATTACTGTCCTTAGTGTGGACACACACGTTCGACTTTCTAATATCGATTGCACATATTTGATTTAACTAAAATCGAACTACTCTCGTAGTGTAGACATACCCCAAGTTAAGTGTATCTGAACCAAATCAATAGACATGGCAGTTGTCAGCCAATATATCTTAACCTAAAATAAAATTATTTGAATGTGGAAATTACTTAACATTTACAAAAAACAATTCAAGCTTTTGCAAATATTACTGGATGGCAACTGCAAAGATTTTTGCAAATTATATTCAATTAAAAACAATTATCTTGTCCATGGACCAACTCACAAGTTGTACCAACTTCTTCATTAGGATGAAGGGGAATAATTGAATAGGGAGCATCTGGATGCTAAGGTTGACTTAAACTCATCAATGTGTGTTCTCAAAAAGAACAGGAGTATTTGTGGCACCTTAGACTAACAAATTTATTAGAGCATAAGCTTTCGTGGGCTACAGCCCACTTCTTTGGATGCATATATATCCGAACACTACATAATCACACCGCTTTCATATATATGCATATTCATATATATGCATCCAAAGAAGTGGGCTGTAGCCCACAAAAGCTTATGCTCTAATAAATTTGTTAGTCTCTAAGGTGCCACAAATAGTCTGTATCCTCAAAAAGAACAGGAGTAACACGGCTGCTACTCTGAAATGTGTGTTCTGTTTTTGGGTCTGAGGTGAGACAGCCAGCAAATACACTAGCCACAGCCTGGAGGCTCCAGAACAGCACACTTCCTTTAAACTTTCCAACCCAATTCTTACACTAGAAGTAGAGGATGTTATCAATCACTTTAAGCTGGCTGTACCAGTTATATTTAGAATTAGTTTTATTATGAGGTGATAGAGGACAATTATATTCATTTTCTTTACAACAGCACATATGATCTCTACAACTCTTACAAAAAAGGGCAGCTCTGTACCTGAGAGATAAGTATCAGATACTGTAATCAGTCAGATCAAAGCATTGCACCACTTAATCACAATACATGCTGTACTGCTCATCAATGCAGCTAGATTGTAGAAAATAATAGATCTTATCACAGTTATAAACCATAAAATAATAAAAACTATAACTCTCCAACTTTCTGGCTATATCCTAGTTCACTCGTTTAAAACATCTTAATGCTGAGCACGGCTGCTTTTATAAATACTTCGTTTCCAAGCTTTGGGCCCTGGCTGTCATTTCCATTTGATACAAGATATAATCTCTTACCTACAATTGTAAGATATTCACTGGGAACATTAAACGTGGCTGTCACTTGAATCGCAGCAGCGAAGGAAGAGAAATAAAGAGCTAGGGTGAAAGTATGCCCCCATTGAACTCAATGGAAAAACTCCCATTAACATCAGTGGGGCGCGGATTTCACGCCGCGTGTTTTACAGAAATCCCTGCCTTCCCTCTGCATATGGAAACAGCTACCTACTACGCTCCTCGTAGCTATCTCCCCGAGACAGGATTTTATCAACAGCATTGCAGCCAGTGCCCCAAAGCACCGTCTGAGGGGGGCTGGGGGCCTGTTGGTGTCTATGTAGCACTTCTCGCCCCAGGCACAGGGCTCGCTGACCTCCCCGGGAACGGCAGCGCCCGGCCCAGCACCAATCAATGGCAGAGCTGTACCTTCAGCAGCCGGGACCTGCACTCCGCCGCAGCCCCTTCTCGCCCCGCCAGCCGAACTCCTGAGCCCGGCGCTTCGCCGGCACAAACAGGAAGAGCGGGGCGGGGTGGCTGCCGGGGAGCGGGCCTGGCGCCCATAGGGCGCATGGGCTAGGAAGTTTTCAGTGGGCGAGCCGCTCAGGCGAGCGAAGGGAACGTTTGCCTGCTGCGGACTACAACTCCCAGAGAGCCTTGCGTCAGCCTCTTCGCCCGGGACTCCTCCCAGGGGAGGGCAAATAGCAGGATAGAGCGATTGCCTACATTTCCCAGAGTGCCTTGCGCGCTAAACCCTCTTCTCCCCCACCCGCGCTGAGACCTTTCAACAATCCCAGCGCTCCCAGGTTGTGTCAAGGCTCGCACACGGCGTGTGTCTACCGTAACGCCTGTTTTCTATTGCCTCCTGCAGATTAGGGAGAAGGCAAGGGTTAGCTCAAGCCACTATTTAATTTGATGGACCCAGCTCCATGCTTACGGCCAATGTAGACACAGTTTGACACCCGTAGCTCGATTGTAGTAAGGTTGAATTTTAGCCATGCTAAAGTCAAGCTGAAGGCATTAAACTCTCTACCATGGTGTTTTCAATTAGTTAAACTAGCGGGATTGAGCTAACTTGATTGAAAAAACACCTTTTTTTCAGTGCTTAATGGTCTGGAAAAAAGGGATGAAGATCTGTCTTTTTCTGGTAGCAGTAGTTTTGAAACAGTATGTAACCCTTCTGCCCATCTAAGTTGGCAGCAACAAGGGCCGGGTTCTGTATCTAGGGGTTCCGTTTCAATAATACAATGCAAAACCGGCTCGAGCCCCCACCCAGTGACCTGGGACAATTACATACCACCCCCCTGGGTACCTCTAAGAGGCAATACTTCCCCTCTCGCAAGCACGGAGTCTGAGTGTAGCAGAAAATGTTTAATAACATGAGGTAAACGACATCAGCATAAAATTGGAAAAAACACCACAAACAGGATTCATAACACAAACCATGAGCAAAACCCACCCCAGCAAATTGGGCTGTGTCCTTTCCCTTTGGTTCTTGAATCCAGCAACCCAAAAATCACCCAGAGTCCCCAAAGTCCAACACCCCCAAAGTCTCTTGGGTCCAGCAACCCCCAAAGTCCCAAAAGTCCAACAACCCCCAAAGTCTCTGTCCCTGGTCAGTGCAGCCCCAGAGTAAAAAAGGGGGGGGCACGCAGGGTGTTAAGGGGCACCTTACGTGATCCAAGGCTGGCCAGCCGTCTGTTTCTCCGTGGGGGTTCCGCCGCAGCCTTTACCACGAGCCAGTCCACTTTCTGCCGTCCCACGAACTGCTCCGCTCTACAAGCTGCTCCGCTCCGCTCCGCTCACCGACCTGTGAGCCGTTCCAGCCGTCCCCGCAAACAGCTCCGCTCGCCGTTCCTTGGGCCACTCCAACCAGCCCCGCAAGGCTCCACGCCGCTCACTGCTCCTCCAGTCGTCCCCACAAATTGCTCCGCCAGCTGCTGAGCAATATAGCTTCAGGCTCCCCCACTAGTTAACACAGCTCTCAGTGATCTCAGCTCTTAATAACATCAGCTCTTTTGTGATTTCAGCTCTTAGTGATTTCAGCTCATAGTATAGTAGGGGAGCCCCAGTGCTGGTGCACCATTGGCCCAAAGTGAATTCAGCTCAGCAGCCTGTAACTAGACTCCTAAGGGAATCAAAGTTAGCTCTGACATTCAACAGTGGAGAGAGGAGGCGGTGCAATTGGTGCTTCAAACCCTCAGAGGGGGCCCATACCATCAGGTACAAATACCTGTCCCCATCCTCTCTCAATTCACTGGGTTTTGTAACCCATGCCCCTTGACAAGCAAATGCTACTTAGGTAATGGTGAAGGATTCACTCAGTCCTTCTGTCATACAACAGTTCCACTGGCCTTGATTCACAGAATCAGGGTAACAAAACTTTATTCTTCCTGCCCCAATAACAGAGAAACTGGGGATCCCACACCAGCCAAAGTAACCACTTTCGGTTGCTGTGGGCTCATGCTATGCGTGTGGGTGGGCCTATGCAAACAAGATCCGCCCCTGGAGTTCTTTTCCACACTCGCCATAATTCACCACCAGATGTCAGGGTAGAGCTCATCCTGACTCTGCTTACATCTATATAAAATGTGCTGCTCCACAGCCGAGCTTGCTTTTAAGTGGGTTTTCTTGGGCCAGGTATATGACCCCTTGATCTCCTTCCCACACACACACTTTATGTCCTGCCTTTTTTCTTAATCTACAGGTAAGTGTACTTTAGCACAAGGTAGCTGGTAGAGCTGAACAGGATTGGCCTTAGTGAAAATGGCAGCCTGGGCAAACGTGTTTTGGTGCGCCTGGCCAGGGGTGCTAGAACAACTTTTATAGTAGGGGTGCTGAGAGCCATTTATCCAAACCATAAACCCTGTATATAATGGAAACCACTTTAAGCCAGGGTGTGCGGTAGCACCCCTAGTTCCAGCACCTATGCCCCTGGCCCCTGACAGCACCCCACTCCCCCATTGCCTCAACCCCCAGGGCTTGCCCCATCACCTCTAGACTCCACTGTTTCCTCCGTGCCCCCCCCCCCCACCCTAGTGTTTAATTTGCACTGGCTGGGTGCCCAGCACTGAGTTTTGGGGGAATGTGTGTGTGAGAGAAAAAGAGAATGTGTGTGTTGGGGGAAAGAGTGTGTACCTGAGTGATCATGTCAGCGTGATCAGGGTGCCTGAACAGCAGCACCGGAAGCTTCCACTTCAGACCCGGAGGCACGAGCGCAAACATGCTCTCCCTGACCCCCACCCCCACCACAGAGCAGCAGAAATTGGGTACACAGATGGAGGGAGAGGGACACCCCCCCCCAAACACACACACACATCTGAAGCAGACAGGAAACAGGCTCCAGCTGGAGCAGCTTGACCTTGAGTGGCTCCATGGTTAGTGGGAGGGGAACAAGATCAGCGGCGGATACAGATGGCAGTGGAGCAGGGCACCCTTGCTTCGGAGGAGTCACCTGACTGGTCCAGCTTCCCCCCACCCCCCGCAGCTCAGTCCGTCCGCCCTCTTCAGACATTGCTGCGCCTGCCTGGTAGGGTGACCAGATGTCCCGATTTTATAGGGACAGTCCCGATTTTTGGGTCTTTTTCTTATATAGGCTCCTATTACCCCCCACTCCCGTCCTGATTTTTCACACTTGCTGTCTGGTCACCCTACTGCCTGGTTGCCTCTAAGCCTCACTGGCTGTTGGCAGGTCAGGTGGGTGGGAGGTACCAGCACGGGCAGCGCCCCCTTGAATATCATACCCTGGGCAGGGGCCCAGCCTGCCCCCCTCTAAGATCAGCCCAGGAACCCTAGGCTCACTCTATGCTAAAGTAAAACTAGAGTTCTAGAATATGTTAGGATGTGCTAGTTAACACACAAAAGCCCAGTTTTTTATCCTAGGTCTTGTCTTCACCACAGCAAAAAAAAGGTGTTAGATAACTCAAATTAGAACATACCTTATTTCATAGTGAAGACAAGGCCCTAGCCAAGATATACCTCTAGAGGCCAATATTTATAGTATTAGCAATAGGGTTGCCAATTTTGGTTGGACCTATTCCTGGACATCACTTGACATAATCTTTAATTAAAGATTAAGCTTTAATTCCTGGAGACTTCAGGACAATCCTGGAGGGTTGGCAACATAATTAGTAAGTGTGTGGGAAAATTGTTGAGTTCCATGTTTGGGTGGCAGCAGCATTAATAGTAGAATAACACATGGTGGAAAACTCAGTAATTCCCCCTGTGACTGGCATTTTCCTGCAGAGAAGAAAATCTTTGAGTGGGGAAAGGGCCACTTAGAAACATTTTTTTTAATGTTTTCATGTGAATTTAGAGACAGTGAGATGTGCTCAATGCATAGCTGTGGAAGTGAAGTTACTTTTACCTATCCATAGAAGAGCATCCATGGCATAATCAGTGGGTGCAAGATTTTCCACATTCACAAATATGCATCGACCATGAGGGAATATCTGCAGGTTTTCATGATAGAGTAATAAAAATGCCAAAGACTATTGCTAGCACTAGTTCAGATGCATTGTGGTTGGAAAACAGGTACAACATTTTCTAATGTATGATAGGCTGGAGACTGAAAGAAGGGGATGTTAATAACTATGTCTGTGCAGTCTGGGTCTTTCTTAGGAGTAGGTTTGACAGAAACTGATTTTTTAAATAATTTCAATACATTATATCAATGTTTATTTTTAAGCATTTTAAAGTTATTGATTTAAATATTTACAGTTTTACAAAAGTCTGGGTTTGAAGCATATTTTTACTTATATTGATTTAAATTTGCACAGTTGTGAGAAATCATGGGTGGATCCGGCAATAATTATTTAATGACAGTAGATGCTGAGATTAAAAAAGTTAAAGCTTTATAACTGTTAAAACACAAATTGTCAACATCACATGTCAAAATATATTAAATAAATATCCTTAAATCAAACTCTAATTAAGGTTCGCAAGCAACATTTCCTTACTAAGCCTATCTGTACATTTCTGTTATTACCAATGGCAATATTTTTTCATTGGTTTGTGTGTGTATGGTGAATTGATGTTTACTGATATTGACTACATTTGCAGATGACACAAATCTGGGGGAGGGTTGTCAACACTTCGGAGGATAGATCTAAACTTCAGAGGGATCTTGATAAATTGGAGAATTCGGCTATAGACAACAAAATTAAATTCAACAAAGAAAAAATGTAAAGTGCTACACTTAAGGAAGAAAAGACAAACGCACAAATACAAAATGGGGAATAACTGGCTTGGCACCAGCACTGCTGATAAGGATCTGGGGTTGTGGTGGATCACAATATCAACATGAGTCAGCAATGCGATGCTGTTGCAAAAAAAAGCAAATACAATTTTAGGTTGCATTAACATCGCATGCAAGTCACAGGAGGTAACAGTACCATTCTAGTCAGTGCTGGTTAGGCCTCAGCTGGAATACTGTGTCCAATTTTGGTCACCAATGTATAGAAAGGAAAGGATGTGGAGAAACTGGAAAGGAT